TCTGCTTATTAAACTTTCTTTTTTTAAATCAATTTTTTTGATACATCCTCCAAAGTTGATGTTTATGTTCCTTGTGATTGACTACTTCTTCTCTTATTCTGTCTTCCTTTTCTCATTCTCCCCATTCTCTGCCTCCCCTTGTTTCTCTGCTGAGTTTAATGCATTTCTATACCAAATGTGTATTTCCTTTAAGAGTGAAGTTAATGAGAAGCCTACCTTGCTCAATATCTCCCTCCATGTTTGTAATACTCTTCTTTTCACATACTTAAATTATGAGAAGTAGTAATTTTTTCTTCTTCTTCATTTTCCGCTAGCGTATTCTTTTTTCTCCCTATTTTCTCTTTCATCTCTTAAAACCATATCACGTGAAAACCACAACCATTCCATAGATTTGTAAGTTACATAACTTTTTCTAAGATCCATGAAGACAGTAATATTCTGAACAGACAATAACCTCCCCATTAGAATGTTAAGTCCATCAAAAATAGCTCAATTCTTTCTAGTTGCTCAACTATATTTAACTTCCTAGGTTTTTCTTGAGTCCTGCGTTTGAATTACAAAGTTTCTATTCAGCCCCTGGTATTTTCATCAATAGTGTTTAAAGATAGTCTATTCTCTTAAAGATCTGTTTTTTCCCTTTTACAATTGTACTCAATTTTGCTAAGTTATTTTTTTATTTTAAGCCATTATCTTTTGCCTTTTTTTATTCCAAGATTTTCTCTTTAAATTTATTGTTGTCAAGACTTGTGTGAATCCATCTTCCTTTCATTTTTGAACTCATTCTTTTAAGGACTTAAAATATTTTTTCCTTTAACACAAATACTTTGTATTTTAGTTATGAAATCTTTAGGTGTTGTTAATTTGGTATTTCTCCAGGAGGTGACGGGTAAGTTCTATTTTCTCTTTGCTCTGTGGTCCTAATAGATCTGGGCATCTTTATTTTGTGATTTCTAGAAATATGATGTCCAGGATTTATTTGGTCCTTGTTTTCAAGAAGTCCATTAATTCTTAAATTATCTCTCCTTTACCTGTTTTTAGATCAATTTTTTTAAAAAAAGTAAATATCTTATATTTTCTTCCAGTTTTCCAGCTTTGGACTTTTTTCTTTCACCAAGTTATTTTACCCCTCCAAGGTTCTACTTATAGTTGATGTTGAATAATAATTTTTCTGGGTTTATCTCTTGGGGTTAATTAACCCATAATATTTCTTCATTGGTCAGTGTTTTTGTCAGTTTATTCATGTTTTCATTCTCAGGTTTTGGAATGGAGTTTTGTGACAGGGACAGGTTCTAGCTATTCCAGAACTTTTGCATGGATTAGGTAAATCATTTTTGGTTCTATACCCCTCTGAAGTCAGACTAGGCTATTTATTGTAAGTCATTACTGTTATTATTTATTACGTATTATTATTATTTAGTAACTAAATAAATGGCCTGACACTAGACTGCAGTCCCTTCAGTCCCTGGCTTCTACCTCCTGGTGTCTGCATGTGCTGGTCTTAGCCCATAGGTTTCTTTTTCTTTATATAATTAGAAGTTAAATCCTTATCTTGTTCTGGCTCTGAAAGGCTTCACTCAGACACTGAAAATCAATTTGGTCTTAGACATCCTGGAAAGTATCCCTTCCATTGAATTTATACTGGGAACTTTGTGTTCCCAGATGTAGAATGGGCCATGTCTCCTGTTTTGACTCTCAGTGCACTGAGGAGGGCTGGGCAGTGACTTTATGGGGCAAGCTCTGTCTCTAGTTTCTCTTCAGATGATCCAGGGCTTAGATATATTTTCATGCTCTGATGGCTGGAGCACTTGCTAGCTTGTGACTTTGCTGGAAGATATTTATTCAGAATCTGCAGATTCCAGGCTTGTTTACCACAGCTCTCACTCCTTTCTCTGGGGTAACCTCTTTTCCAGTCTCTACTGGTTTCTGTTGTCCTCTTCAGATATTTTCTGGAATGTGTGGGAGAGAATGGGGCTCTCCACCTGTTCAGGTTGTCACATTAACCAGAAGTTCTCAGTGACTTTCTCATGTTGACACAGCCAATAATTGTCTAAGGATTTAAATAAGGATTTCCTGACGTTAATGCTCTTCTCAGTACGTCCGAACTCTACCCACTAAATGGCAACTCCTCACAGACTTCTTTTTAGTGATAAGTACTTAAAACAGTGAAATAAATTGAATGTTTTGATTTGGCCCCAATACTTAATGGTATTTAATCTCTTTTGTAAAAATGAATAAAACCCATGTTTTCTTCTTCTTATTGATTCTTTCTCATTTTTGCCCAAGTTACTAAAGTGGGAAGAGGGAGAGTGAGATATAAAGAATAGTTCTATAAAACTTAGTCATCATAGGGACTGGAAACAGTGCCAGATAGCTTTCTTTTTGGACATGAGAACATTTACTGTACATTTTCCTCATTCCCATTTCCTACACAGAAATAGCATGAAGCTGGATGAGCAAGAAAATACACACACACACATACACACACAGACACACACATGTGCACACATGTATGTATATATATATATTTACTTATTCTGAGGGTTCAGTAAGAAAAAGGAAAAGACAGGAAGTTGGGGAAAAGATAGGAAGCATTTCTGAATTTCTTTAGCTTTTCATTTTAGTCTTTAGTTTGTTGCAGTTCTCTGGAATTCTGAGATTATTTTACATTTTCAAGGCGCAAAGCTCAAATTTTGGGGTAAGTGGAGAAATTGAAACTACTATTTGTATATTCTAGAATAATGTACATTAAAAGTACTAAATATTACTAATGTGCTTTAAAAAAGTACTAATTTAAAAATTACTCATCGTAATTTTGTCTGAAGACAAGCAGGGTCCTAATCCTGAGGGTAATTAATATAATCTCAAGTTTTAAAGTTATCTGGAATTAGTTCATGAGGTTTTAACTTGTATTGGATCTTTGTCTTCTTATACTATGAATTTGGTTTCAGTTGCTCTATATAGGCTGCATAGTTTCTGTCTTTTGATGTTTTAAGGTTGGAACAGCTTTTTCAAAAAAAAATACTCTGACATTTTGTTGGTCATGTGGTCCCAATAAATATTTTTTGAAAGGACATTCTTTTCATCTGACTGCTGAGGAAGGCCTCTTTAGTTTGCAGTTTTTGATTTATTCATATCTACTTTTTCATCAGTGAATTATTTCTAGCTTCAAAAACTTATAACATATACAATTCAACAGTCCAACACCTCAAATACCCTTATTGTTATTTATTTATAGCTTGGCAGATTTTTGTTCACTAAAGCACATTTTCCACTTTAAATAGTTTATTTCACATTAACAAATGATTGTTAAATATCTGCCATGATGAAAAATTACATAATCTCTGACTTTAAGGACTATAGTAAAAAGTAGGAAGGATAAGATCTGTATAGATACAAATATCATATAAGTTATCAAGTAAGGAGACAATGAAAAGACTCATGCATGAGATTTGGATAAGTATTGATTTGTCCTAGCTGGAGGAAATAGGGAAGTTTCATGGAAGAGGTGATCCTTGAGTTGGGCCTTGAAGATGGCATTAACTAATTAATATTAATACTTTAACTTTCCTTCCTGATAACTTTCAATCCCCTTAACTTCTGTCCCAATACATGTTGTTCACTTTGCATGTACACAGATAATTAAAGACTAAGAATATATAAAGTAGTATAGAGAAATTTCAAGGGAGAGAGTATTAATAACATGAGCTGTTCTTTGAAGAAAGAACATTTTACAAAGCAAATTTGAGGAATGAATGCATACCAGACATGGCAGTGCAAAAAGCGTGGAGGTGGGAGATGAAATATTATACATAATCAATTTGACTCTAATGGAGAGTATGTGAAGCTTTGTATTTGGATATATATGGATATATGTGTATGTCCATTGGAGCTGATGTGACCAACAATGAAGAGAGGAGAAGAGAAGAGGACCAGACCAGAGCCTTGAGGGATAGACACACTTAGCTTAACATTTATTAAAAATACTAGTAAGTCAAGACAATGCAATCCAAAATAAATATTATGTCAAAGAAAATGTCAATGAAGCCAATTTAGTGACCTCCTCTCACCCTATTAGCTATTTTAATAAAGTTAGCCATTCTAATTCTTCATTCTCTTTGATAGACTATTGGAAATTTCAAAATGAAAGTTGTAGCTTGAGTATTTTGTCCCCACAGCAGATGAAAAAGTTTGAAATGGCAATTGTATTTTCCATTTTAAGCTAATAAATACACCTTTTGTGGTCCTGATAGTGGTCACCTTTACATATGAGTTGTTAGCTTATAGTCAAATGACCTAGCCTCATCATGACAACTTTAGCTGTATGCTGTGGGTAAGTGCCACTAGCCTAACCCTTACTATATTTCAAATAGGTTAATGCAATGTCATTTTAGAGTCTCAGCAAGCAATAATATCCCTCTTCCTTCCTTCTTCCTTCCTTCCTTCTGTCCTTCCTTCCTTCCTTCCCTCCTTCCCCTCCATAAGAATGAATAGCATGGGAAGAAAAAAGAAGGGATAGCTGAAGCTCAGTTGTACTGATGTGTTACTACTCAGAGAAGTTACCCCACTGGGAAAATTAGAAAGAGAAAAGAAATGAGGTAAAAATAATGATAGTGGCCTAATTCTGTCAGGAAGCAAGTGGGAATTACAATCAATTGCTCTAATGTCAAGTTCATCACGGGAAAATATGACTTTGATCTGTGTTACTTTGGAGCATTTCAAAAGTAAAAGGATGCTGGAAGCATAACAGGGCAACCTGAGTAAATAAGTATCCCTCTGAACAGACCTCAAGCCACTGAAATGACATACAGACACATTCCATGCTAGGGAAAGATACATAATGGAAAGGAGAGGATCTTTAAAAGCCCTTAAAGTTTAACCTTGTATCCTCTAAGACTATAAAAAGGGTTACAAAGTAATTTGAAGGAGGAAATAGAACAAAAGACATGAATGCAAAAAAAGATTTTTTAATGGCATACATTCTATGTAAATAAAGGAATTACCTGATTTATTTTTGCATTCTATATCATAGCCTGTGATTGGGCTATTTCCATCAAATCCCATGGTCCATCTGAGGGTAATAGTGCGTGCTCTCACATCTTTGATTTCTATTTCAGGAGGGTCTGGAGGTTCTGGGTAACAAAAAGCAAATGAAACCCATTTTTGTTTATGTCAATAGCACATTAAAATTCACTCAGTTTTAAAATATTTTCTTCCTAATCATATTTCAGGGAAGAGGAATTCCACTCAAAATGTGTCATACTTTTCCAGCTTTCACTGTATTAGAAAACTATAACAATGTGGTATGGTATTATGAATAATATTCCAGTTGATAGTCACTATCTGGTCAAAATTATGAACCAAGATCTACCCTTATTTACGGTTTATGGTAGTTGATATATATTATATGACTATTAGTAAAGGAAGGATTTCTAATTCTGATAAAATAGAACAAATAATATTAGTTTTTTACCCGTTTTTTCCATTCTACAAAAACTTCCTTGCTAGCTGTTAGTTTTTTTAAAGGCCATTATTGTCTTTTTTTTATTTCTTTGAACATTTTCTCCTAAGCTACAAAATTTCTTATAATATTTTGTATTTATTTTTATTATACTGTCTTCCTACCTTGCACAGTGAGTTGAATTATTCCACGGTCCTCCCCATAAGAATTGATAGCATGACAGGAAAAAAAGCCAGAATCTTCTCTCAGAGTTGGCAAAATCTATATGCAAAATAGAAAAAAAAATACAACTTTTTCAGTACTATGCAAAAGTGAGAAATACACCAAAGCAGGTTAGCTTTAAGAATCTCTCTAAACTTAGCCCCTTTACCCTATCTTTCCCAATCTACTACTCCACATACAGGTGAATAACAAAGAAAAATTTGTAAGAGAGCTGCTACGTGTATGCATCTGTGTGTATGTTCAAATGTATTGATAGTATACTGTCAAAGTCATCTGCAAACTGGTGAAATTGTTATTATTCATTGGATGGGATGTCATAGTCAATTTGATATATATCCTAAATATACATACATAAACACACACACACACACACACACACACACACAATCTTTAGATGGCCTCAAATACTATAGTAAGGATTTGATTCTACAGAAATCTAATCAGAAAGGTATGGAATCTATGGAATCTAATCCTAGAAAGATATGGAATTGCTATGAAATTTTCAAATGCAGGATCTTTTCCCCTTTATGTGCTAAAGCACTTCTGTCTCCTTGTGCTAAATGCATTTCTTAACTCAACAATAGGGGTCAAGTTGTACACTTTTAATAAAAAATTATACTTGTTTAGCACCTATTTTATTTTCTGAAAGGAATATAGTGGGCCTACATTTCTAAATACATCATTTTATTATAATATTAGTATAATAATATTTGTTATTTATTATTTGCATTATGTTTATATTATTATCATTATTATTATAGTTACTCCAAGTCTTCTCAGATTCATGACATTAACAATATATTATTTAATTCACAAAGGGGAAATACATCTGAAACATAGGCTTTCCCCTTGGATTATACATTTATCAAGGGCCCATTTTTCTGACTCTTTTATTGTATCTGGAATCCCCACTGTGTGTATAAAAATGTTTTTGCTTTTATTCATATTGATTGAATATTATAATAATATTTAGAAGGCTGTTAAAATCCTTCAGTATAATGAGAAAGAGAAGTATGTTTTATTAATAATTTTAAATGATTTTCTATATTTTCACATATACACCCAGGAGTAGTGAACAAAAAAAATGGCTTATTGTAGTTTTTGGTGGTTTATGCTTCAAGCAATAGCTTTCAGTTTTCAGTACCTGCAGAGTAGAAAGGACTTCTTCTCCCACCTCCTTTGTGGACACAAGATATCGGGCCATTTCTGGGTTAATGATTCGGTCTTCTTTCTCCCATCGGACTATAATGGGTTTCTCACCATGTGCTGTACAAATCATTTCCTTCTTTTGACCCTGAGTAGCCAGGGTAGTGTTTGGGTATGATGTTATCATAGCAGGAACTAAAACAATCAAAAATAGTAACACTGCTTATTCAGGAAAGTAAACTTTGTGGTATGGCAGCTAGAATTGTGGATCAAGCACTGGGCTTGGAATCAGGAAGACATCTTCCTGAGTTCAAATCTGGCTTCAGACACTTATTAGCTGTGTGACCTGGGGCAAGTCTCTTAACCCTGTTTGCCTTGGTTCCTCATCTATAAAATGAGCCACTCCAGTGTTTTTGCCAAGAAGACCCCACCTGGGTCACAAACTTCTTGGTTGCAGACTTTTGGTACAGTGATATGAAACTACTACAAGTCCTCCTAAACTGTGCTTAAGAAGTTAATTCTATGAAATAATGCATTATTTAAAAAAGAAAATATCAAAAGAATATTAGGAATATGAGAGAATGAATGAAAGGCACCCTGAGTAAAATATTTTCTATTCTGGACACCCAGTGCAAAAGGCACTACGTCTATTTACCTCCAAATCAGTAGAGAGGTTTTCAGTATTCCTTTAGTCTCCCCAAAAGTTATCTCACTAATTTGAGTACTCAGAAATCGAATTGACTAAGTTACAACTCTGTGAGTTTTAAAAGTCAGAAGATCCATTAGAGGTTCTCTCAGCAAAAGCAGAGACTACCAGGGCTAGGAGAAGTGATAGTTAAGTGCAGTGAAGAACCAGCACAGTAACTGAGAACACTGATTGACCCAGCCTGGAAGTAAACTGATTAATCAGCTGAAATACCATGTAATGGAAGTAGCTAGCCCAACTGAAGAAATGAATGATCAAGCAAGAAGTAAAATTGGCCAGGACTCCATGAAGGAAGAAAAGAAAATATTCTCTGAGGAACTTAAAAGATGTTTAAAATACACACTAAACACAAACTGACTATAAAAGAAGTAATTTTACAAATTAAAATTAGTTTATATTTATTTCTGCCATGGGTGTGCCTTTATTTTCTACTTTTCAAAGTAAAATAGACTTTTAGGCAAGCATACATTTGGCATTCAAACAATATGGACAGCCCATCAGAATTGTACTCTGTAGTAGAGTTTGAATGATTTGCTGTTTATTTGAGAAAGGACCTCAGTGTCTGGTAACTTATCCTGCCAGGTAATCTTCAGAACCTTCCTAAGAAAATTCAAATGGAAGTGATTTGATTTTCTGGCACGATGCTGATATACTATCCAGGTTTCACAGGCATACAACAATGAGGTCAGCACAATGGCTCTGTAGATCTTCAGTCTGGTAGGCAATCTAATACCTCTTCTTCCCACACTTTCCTTTGGAGCCTCCCAAACTCTGAGCTAGCTCTGGCAATGCATATGTCAACTTCATTATCAATGTACATCCCTGGAAAGTATATTGCCAAGATAAGTGAACTTATCTGCAGTATTAAACATTTCTCCATTTGCTATAACCAATGGTTCCACTTATGGATGGTGTGGATCTATGTTTTCTTGGTGTAAATTGTTAGGCCCAAATTAGCACCAATAACAGAGAACTGATCCATACTTTGTTGCATCTCACCTTCAAAGGCTGCATTGAGTGGACAATCCTTTAATCCTACTTCCTTTAAGTCCCAACTAAAACTCCGTCTTTTACAAGAAGCCTGCCAACCCCTCTTAATTCTTGTGCCTTCTCTCTCTTATTTCCTATTTATCCTGTATATAACTTGCTTTGTGTGTGTGGATCTATGTACCTATGTATGTATGTATGCATGCATGCATGTTTCTATCTTCTATCTATCTATCTGTCTGTATGTCTGTCTGTCTATCTATCTTTATATTTGCATGTAGTCTCCTCTATTAGAATGTGAGCTCCTTGAAGCCAGGAACTATCTTTTGCTTCTTTTTTCCTTGGCACATAGGAGACAATTCAGAAATGTTTACTGATTGATCGATAAGGCACTCCTTTCAGAATACTTCCCCTAAAGTATTGTGTAGTGATAACTATTATCAATACAAGTGCATCAAATTTCAGCAAGGACTGAGCACAACATGTTATTTTGAACTTGTCCTTTTATAATGAGGTGAAAAATATCTCTGAAGGGGCCTTTGGAGCATTCTCAAATCACCTAACATGAAGGCAGAGGGGTTTGCTGTCTTTCCTGCATAGTTTTTCCTGCTGCGTCCAAAGAGTGAAGATCATCATTTGCCTACCATGTGGCAGAAGCAAAGAACTTCCTTCCCTTGCCCCTCATTTAACCCAACTCCATGAATGGACCATAAGGGATGTTTGACCCATGAATGAGTCATAAAGGATGTTTGTTTGACCCATGAATAGGTCATAAAGGATATTTATTTCTGTTCTGTTTCTCTTGGCTTTAGTTTCAGTTGCTGGCAATTATCTCCACTGAATTTGGGAGTTTGAGCCATTGTTACCTTGGAACCAAAATTCCAGGTGGTGATGTTGCAGCCAGTCAGTCCAACAGAGAAGCCTGGAGAGAGGCAGGGTGCCTGGGTTGTAAGCCCAATGAGGGTTTTTGACTTGGAACTGGGACTATGTGCTCTATAGGAAGCAAATTAAGTTACAAATCTTCCCCTCTGTAGACTGAAGCAGAGAAACAAAAAGGGATTAAGCCCCACGTTTTGAGAGGAGTAAGTTTGCATAGTTGTGTTTATACCTTTTGAAGTAAATATTCTTTGTAAAAGCTAATCCAACTTTTAGTGGCTAACTTGAACTGGTGTATAGGAGATCACCGCTAAATTTTGGGTAACTGCATCAGCGGGGGCTGGAGTCGTTTGTAAAGAGCCTTGCCACACCCCCAAGCCCCCGTAAAGGTACTGGAGAAACCTAGGGGAGGGATAAAATGTAATATACTTAGCCTTCCAGGCAATGAGGGCCAGGGGTCAGTGTTACATAACTTTCTTGTCCCTACCAAAAACGTAGTCCCTCCAGGATATTTTGAAGACAAAGATCTTTGAAGATATCAACTAATAGAACTTGTAAAAGGCTTAATTAATTAGCCAGAAGGTTCAATAAAGGTAGAGGGCCTAAAACACAGTTCGCTACAATTATCTTCAGGGTTAAATTCTTAAGGTCAAAGAGCATATTCACATTAGTTTCTTCTTGTGAAATGGCCACAAACAGTCTACTCTCCAGTCTGCCAGGGCAGCAACAATCTTCAGAAGCATCAACAAAAGCATGACTAGAAATGTGATGTCCAACCTGGGCAGTCCAACCTGACTAAGACCATTCCACTTATAGCTTAAGTTTAATACTGGAGCAAAATGAGACCGAGATATACCATTCAATAATTAAAAAAAAATAAGAGAAGTATATTTAATAAGAAGAGGCATCGAAGACATCTCTAGTTAATTCAGCTGAGTGAAGCTCCTTGGATGGCATTACTCATTATGATCCATCTCAGAAACCCAGGCTTCAGAAAGTTCCTGGAGCTTTCTGGTACCTGCTTTGTTCTCAGGTAATGAGGATATGATATCAACAGTCAGCCTTCAGTCCTCTGAACCAAATGAGCCTTGAGGAAGATATCAATATTTCTCAAGGAAAAACTAACCCAACTTGCATGGGGGTGGGGTATGGAAGGGATAGGCCTCTATCTTATATATTGGTAGCCAGTCAGTCAGGCAGTCAATAAACACTTATCAAGTGCTTACTATGTGCTAAGCACTGTGCTGAGTGCTGGAGATTACCTCCACCCCCCCAAAAAAGGCAAAAGATAGTCCCTTCTCTTGAGGACTCACAATCTAATGGGGGAGACAGCAAGCAAACAAATATGTACAAACAAGTTATGCACAGGATGAATAGAAAATAATTGTGTCCCTTCTTTTCCTTTCACAGCAAATTTATATAATCAAGGCAGATTAGCAGTAGAAGTTTTTTTGAAGAGCAAAGGGTTGCATCTAAGAATAACTTATTGAGCAAAACTGAGTATAGTCCTGAATGAAAAAAAATGGATAATTGACGAACTGAAAGACTTTCAGATATTTGCAACAAAAAGACTAGAACTCAATGGAAAATCTGATATGAAAAATCCAGAAGAAATATAAGGAAATCATTAAAGACTAATTATAAGGCACTGATTAAGCTCAAACTATTTACTTATGATATATGAAAGTTATTAATATTAGTAATTATTAGTTATCATTATTAGTAATAGTATTCTTAAAACAGTTATCCTTTCTAAGGTAGTTAGAAAGAAAGGTTGGGTCTGAGTTGTGTAGGATAAGGTGATTCTAAAAAACAAAATTGGGTAGGAAAAGATTAAAAGGAGAAATTATCTCATGAAAATGGGGTGTGAAAGGAAGAACTAATATAAAGGAAGCAGGTAGAGGTGAAAGGCTGGTAATATTGGAACCTAACACTCCTCTTGGTTGAAGAGGAAATAATATATACATCTAAAGAGGTTTAGAAGTCTTCTGAACTTCTAGAAATGTGAGAAAACTGGGGGAGAAGGTAGAGTAGGAATTTTTAGAAGGGTATATAGATTAATATTTTGTTAATTTTATTTAATTATTTAACTTAATAATGAATATTGGGGTGGGGTGAATATAGATATAGATAAGGGAGGGACTTTTAGAGAGGTGGCTAAAATAAGAAATAAGAGAGAAAGGGGAGAAGATAAAATAACTGGGATTGGGTGAAAAGAGAGGCTGAGAAGGAAAATAGTGAATAAAAATAAGATGGAGGGAAATTCATAAATAGTAATTATAACTTTGAATGTGAATTATAAAGAATAATAACAAAATTCATTTGGAAAAATAAAGAGTCAAGAATATCAAAGAAAATAATGAAAAAATGTGGAGGAAGGAGGTTTAGCAGTACCAGATCTTAAACAATATTATAAAAGGCAGTAATTAGAAGATGCATAATTTACATTACATTAAATTAAAAGTTTTTGTACAAATAAAACAAATGTAGCCAAGATCAGAAGGAAAGCAGAAAATTTGGGAAAAAAATTCTGTAGGCAGTATCTCATATCTAAAATATAGCAAGAACTTTGTCAAATCTATACTACAAGTCATTCCCTAATTGATAAATGGTCAAAGGATATGAA